CAATCATTTAGCCATCATGAATTTTTTATTCCTTTCCTCTGACATCTCCCATATTTATCCCACATTCATGAATCTTGTATATAGTAACAAAAAAAAATAACCCTCCTTATATATATATATATAATTTTATTTTATTTATTTGGAAAAAAAAACTATAACTTTTTAATAAGCAAATATTTAAACGAGAACAATGTTATTTATTTCCTATTAATTAACGTTGCAAAAATTTTAGAATGTTACCAAACTAAAATTCAAAACTATTGTTAAAACATTTTAATAGTTGACTTGTCTGAATGTTTAAAATGGCCCAATTTAGAGACTAATTTAGTGTGGAAGCGTCCTTTATTTGTCTCTATTTTTTTTAAATTTTTAATTTAATCTCACTGTGTTTAAATAATTTAATTTTGTCTTTTAATTTTTTTAAAAGTTTAATATTGTCTTTCTGTTTAATTTTATTAATGTTATTAGTGTTAATTTGGACAAAAGGACAATATTAAACACTTTTAAAAAAATTAGGCAATAAAATTGAATTATTAAAAATAATGGGATCAAATTAAATTCTAAAAATAAAAAAATAATCAAAAAATATAATTCAATTTTTTTTTTATTCATTATGTTTTTCTTCCATTTGCATGATTTTCTCCCAACACCCCCCGGCCCATTTCAACTCAATATTCCTCCATTCAAAATATTTTGAATTTTACTTTTTTTAAGTTATTAGACTCACCATATTCATTAATATTGGTTGACACAAGTGCGAATAAGTTGTATCTTTAATCAAATTATCTAAAATTTGAGTCTTAGTTTTAAATATAGAATAAATTATATTACGAAAGAAATATTCACCTTATGTACACTCATAATTTTCAACAAAAATTAGTCACTATTTCTTATCGTAAATATTTCGTATTAATATAATAATTAAAAAAAATAAATACTCACTGCATTTAGATCATTTCAAGCATATGCAACCCAAGCTCTTCATTCAGAATGTTTAGAATTCTACTCTTGTATTACTAAGCTCACCGCGTTCAGGTTGACCCAAGCATTAGGTAACTCAAGTTTTAGGCCCAAATTTATTTAATTTTTGTGTTTATAAAACTTGTAGTGTAGTAGTAACCAATATTTTTTTTTCTTACTAACTTGTAGTGTGTTGAACTAGCATATTGGGCCTATTATGGATTAACATTTAGGCCCAAATTTAATAGAACAAACTTGCTGACTCAAACATTGATTGTATGAACAGCTAGCTAATCACCCCACCCTAATACTTTGTTTGGATAATAAGTGAAATTAAGAGGACAAAGTTAGAGAAGTGAAATCAATAAGTCAAACATGTTAACATCAATCATTTTTTACTTTATTTTTCACTATCATTTTGTAAATAAATAAATAAAAAAAACAATGGCATTTGAAAAATCAAGAATTAGGATTTTTAAAATGTTCGACCATGGCTAGTAGGGCTAACATTTGCAGAAAAGAAATAAGACATTTAGACTTTGTTCACTGGATCATGGACAGTAGCCTACAGATATCAAATGGGCCTATATTGTGCTTTTATTTTTATTTTTATTTTTTCATTCTACTTATAGGATGGACCTTACATGCCCAAAAGAAGAAAAGTCAAGTAGGCATAACAATCTAACCCGTCATCGTGAGTACCCGCTCGAACCCGCCCCGATTTGGACGGGAAAAATTCGTGTTTATCGATTTCGGGTTTGGGTTCGGGTTTTCTCCAATTGATAAAATCGGGGGCAGGGACGGGGACGGGGATGTTAATACCTACCCCGCCCCCACTCCGGTTAATAATATAATTAAAAATTGTTTTTATATATATAAACCAAAATTAGAAATATTTGTAAAAATTTATATTATTTTTCTTTTATTTTATTTTTTTAAAATTGTTCATATTTATTTAAAAGAAAAAAAGAAGAAAAAAAGGAAAAAAAAAAAGAAAAAAAAAA